GGCTCGTTCCTGTGCTGGGCCTGTGGCTGCGTGCGCCTCGCTCGGGGCAGGCACCCCGACCGGGAGGAGTGCTCTGTACCTGATTGGCAGGAGTGTGAAGGCCTGGATCAACCCTCTAGTCTTACTGTAGGGCCGCAAGCGCTCTCCTGAAACTCTCCAATCTCTCTTGCCACCCGGACAAACTGGACTTAGTGATAAAATGGTCAGTTACACCAAAATCACATCAGATGTAGGTTGCTTTCCGTCCTTGGAAGCCAGTCACCCCAGCTCAGCTAGTATCCTAGAGCTTATACAAAGGACTGAGGATGTTGAAAAGTGGGTAAACTGTAGGGCCGCAAGCGCTCTCCTGAAACTCTCCAATCTCTCTTGCCACCCGGACAAACTGGACTTAGTGATAAAATGGTCAGTTACACCAAAATCACATCAGATGTAGGTTGCTTTCCGTCCTTGGAAGCCAGTCACCCCAGCTCAGCTAGTATCCTAGAGCTTATACAAAGGACTGAGGATGTTGAAAAGTGGGTAATTGACTAATCATGTACTTGCCTCAATTTGTACTGAGTACACAATTAGTCCATAAGCTGTGGCTCTGCAGCCTGGCTTCTACTGCATTTAAACTGCAGAGCCACAGTGGAGGTAGATCCAGGACTTGGTGTGAGCTGGGACTCGGCAGTCCCAACTCATGCTGAGTCCCCCCCTACTGCTCTGCCTCCCTGCCCCCTCCTCCCCGCACCACAGAGATAGTGCTGGGAGAAACTGGTTTTTAAGCCAGCTCCCCCCATCGTGGGCTCCTGTTTCCCCCACTCCCATTTGCCTCTGATACAGAGGCAGCGGGGAGAGCGATAAGCCTAAGCTTATCCAATAATCAACTGCTCGAATAGTCACATCACTAGGACAACATTGTTAGACTATTCTATAGTAAACTAACTAAGAATGTATTGGGTAAGAAAAGAAAATGAGAGTTATTGGGGTTAAAGCAGGTAGAACTTAACAGACCATTTGTAATGCCAAGCAGTGACAATGATGTTAGAAATTTCCAGTTTCCTAAAAGTCTTTTCAAGATTCCCATATTATGTCTGGGGATCGTTGCTTTGCATCTGGTATACTTCCCTGGAAGAGTTCACGCAGTCCACAGATATAAGTTATTTCATTGAATATACACTTAACTGCTTCATCTCACATGGGATGCTGGAGCAGCCTCTGTCTGTGGGGAGCTTGGACTGCCTCTGATACAGAGGCAGCAGTGCAGGGTGGCAGGGCTCTCCCTGGGAATGGGGCCAGGAGTGCACTGGCTTCCTGCCCTGCCCCCTTGGAGGCACCAAATAACCGTGTAACCACTAAGAATGTTAGCAGTTATACTGTTATTAAAATAACCTATTTTTAACATCCCTACCCTTCATACAGTTTAATCAGTATAATATTTTTATGATGCTCCATAAAATATTTTTCATTATGCTGTAAAATTAAATTTGAGAATAAAAATGAAATTATATAAATAAAGGAAAAGGCTGCAATATTATTTTGGGAGATTATTGTCCACTTAAATCAATGGATTTGCAATAAGATTCAAGTATGGATTAGATTTGAAATAGCCCTTTGTAGGGTGTTACTTTAAAACTTTTATAAAGTACAGCTTTCTTTCTTCGTACCATTTTTGCTTTTAGCAATGCCATAGTGTTTGAAGATCAGCAGATGAAAACAAATTATGTATACTCTAAGGCCTTGTCTACACTGTAAAATTTTGTTGACAAAATGTGGAGGTGTATATGTTACAATGCTCCTCCTGCAGACAACATTATCCTGCTTTGCTGACAAAACCACCTTGATGTGAGGCTTAGAACATTTTGCCACAAAGTTAGTGACAAAGTATCAGTGTAGACATTGTATTTATTATTTCAACATAACTGATTTCCAGGAGGTATCTCCCAATGCATCCTGAATGCAAAGCCCTAGGAAGTTTTGAGATTCCTCAACATGGAGCATTCACAAAGCTACTGTCCAGTAGCAAACACTCCTGCCTGGACTACAAAGGAGAGGGTGGATCTCTTTCATCTGTAGAAAGAGGAGGCTGTGGGAGAACTCTGAGGAAATCATTGGAATTAAAACAATAATGCAGAATCTGTTCTCCCCAGCAGATTGGTAGGAAGGGTGGTATGCTCCAGAGGGTGATTATCTGTCTCCCACCTCTCTGCAGCAATATATCATTCTCCTCTCAGTTAGGGTAGGGATACAGGGGACACTAAGGGGGATTGGTTGTTTTACTCAGGATTGATGTTTCTGTCTGAACTTAGTTAATATGCAGACTAGGGATGTGAAGGACTCGTTGACTAGTCGACTATCCAATAAGCAAATGCTTATTGGATACTCAACAGGCTAATTGACTAGTCGCTTCCCCCTCCTGTTGCTGGCTCTATCAAAAAGGGGCAGCAAGGAGGGAGGAAGCAGAGGAGGTACTTCAAAGCAGTAGTGCCGCTTGAAGCCTGGGGCCAGACCCTGGCTTCACGCAGCACTGCTGCTTTCAAATGCCATGTGGGGCACACAGCATTTCAAAGTGGCAAGGCCACATGGAGCACGGGTTCAGGTGGGAACTCCTCCACTAACCCCAGGCTCTATGCAGGGCTGCCACTTTGAAATTCTGCGGGGAGCCTAACATCAGGCTCCCCACAGTGTTTCAAAGTGGCAGCGCTGCATGGAGTCCAGGATCAGTTGAGGACTCCCCCACTGACTCCAGACCCTATGTGGCACTGCCACTTTGAAATGCCACGGTGAGCCCAGCGTCAGGCTGCATGTGGCATTTCAAAGCGGCAGCACTGCACGGAGCCCAGGGTCAGCAGGGCTCCACACAATGCTTTTGCTTTTGAAGTGGAGGTGCCCTATCGACTAATTGAATAGTTGATGAAAAGTGCACTGACTATTCGATTAGTCAGTTAGTCTATCTTTAACATTCTTAATGCAGACACATGCACTGCCCCCTGTGCACACACTTCACCAACACACTGTATGTCTGTCTCTCTCTGACACTTCATAACACAGTTCAATACAGTATTGAACAGCAGAGAAGGATTCATGCTTTCTGACAGAGATATGGCTGGGTTGCAGATTACCGGTGCAGTTGAGAAGCAGCTTGCAGTCTAATGGAATACCCATGGAATAGTGGGATTGAGAAACTTTCATCGTGTAATGTTGTATAAGTCCCCAGGAAGCATTGCAAACCCTTCCCAAAGCACCCTGCGGCTAGTTGCCCAATGAATAGCTACATACAATACTCTGTTCTCTGTGTCGGTGGGAGAGCTGCTATTGTGAATGCACTCCACAATCAGCATAGTGTGGACATGCAACAGAAGTTTAATTATAGTGCTAACTGTACATCAGCATAATTTGCATTGACAAAACTTGGTAGTGTAGACTAGTGGTTTTTAACCAAGGGCAGCCCTGCTGACAGTGAAAGGGATGTGTGTGAAATTTGGCTGTATGTGGGAGGAGACTTCGCGTGCTCCCCCCTGCTTCCCCCAGGTCAGTCGGCCTGGGGAGGGGGAGCATATGAAGTCTCTTGCTCCCTGCCTCCGCCCTGCAAAGGGGCACAGTGCTTAGAGTCAAGAGCCAGCTGAGCCGCAGTTGGCAGTTGACTTTAAGCGCTGAGCCCCTTGCAGGGCCTCCACAGGCTGGATCAATTCGCTTGGAGGGCCGGATCCAGCCCACGGAAACCCTTTTTGCCCACCTTGCTTTAACCCTTGTTTGGAACAAACATTAATTTGCCATCCCTAGAGAAGAGGGACAACTCCTTTTCCGAATTCAAGTATTCTGTCCTTTTAGTAATGGACAAAGAGCTCAGTTTCACTGAATGAAATGTTCATTTTAATTTAAAAAGTAATTATCCTATAATTCTGCAGTTGGGATGTTAGAAGAATGATGAGTCCTGCAAATAAGCATATAGATGTACTTAAAACAGAGTTGTAGTTAACTGTGTTTATATAGGGTGGGTGCTTTTTATTTTTGCTAACTTTGTCATGGATTTCCTTCCACAGTGGTGCTGGGCAAGAAGTAGGAAGATCATGCATTATTCTGGAGTTTAAAGGAAGGAAAATAATGGTAATTATGTATAGTTACCTGAATTACTAGGGTCTGTTGTAAAAAGTGAATTGTTTGTTAAATCCAAGTTCCTCACAAAAGACTGTAATCAATGGCTGCCTCAGGTATCTATGTGTAAGAGTTGGTGATATGCTCACAATCTAGTTCTCATTGAGTCTAACCTTTACCTCAGGGATGTCTAGTTCTCATTGAGTCTAACCTTTACCTCAGAGATGGCCAATCCGTGGTTAAGTGCGGCTCATGAAGCCTCCTCCCCTCCCCCGTGGCTTGCGAAGCTGCCCCTGCACCTCTAAAACTGGCCCCTGGCCCCAGTTTCCCTTGTGCTCACTGTTCCACGTGGCAAAGCAAAATGGTTCTGGCAAGAAGGCATCGGCCGACGGGAGCCTAATGTGGCCAAAAAGCCACCTGGAGTTATGTTTAAAGGCACAGCATCCGTTTTTGTTGTTGTTGTTGTTGTTGTTTTTGGCTTGACAACTCCCCCTCCTTCCCCCACACTGGCTCTTTGCGCTATATCCCCAAGTATTGTGGATCTTTGCCTTTAACGGGTTGGTCACCCCTGCTTTACCTTCTTCGTGCAGTTGTATGTATGTACAGATGCTCTGTTGTTTTTCCAGCATTAATGCCTAAATACTAAGGTGATAGAATTGACATGTGAAAGGTTGTTCACTTATGCTCTCAAGTGTTTTGGAAAAGTATCGCTGCAGGCACATTGCACATTCCATTGCATGTGCCAAAATTGCATATGCCATGGCTCATGTCTGAAAAGTACGTTTTCAAAAGGCCTTCAGTTTTCTACTGAAGATAAGTCATTTAGACAGAGACCCCTAGAGTCTAGCTTGGAGTCTAATAAATCACCATGTGTTAAAAACAGTATATAAGCAAAATGAATTTTTCCTGTACGACAGTCACTTGTAATTGTGCCACAAATTTAAGCACGTGCTTATTATTTTTATAAATATTTGTAAGAGTTTTAATTGTTTTTCATCACTTTTCAGCTTGATTGTGGAATCCATCCTGGCCTGGAAGGAATGGATGCCCTTCCTTACATAGATTTGATAGATCCTGCGGAGATTGATCTCCTCTTAATCAGTCAGTAAGTTGCATTTAGAACAAGAATTAATGCTTGCAGCCTGCATACGGATCCGATCATCTCCAGCCCCACCCCAAATCAATTATTTAAATGAAGAAAAATAAAAATTAATTTACTTGGTAAATCTTCTAGTGCTGTTATAAAGAGATGTATGATCAATTATTCTCCAAGCCTGTGAAGGTAGGACAAAAAATAACCAGTTTAATCTGCATGAAGAGGGAATTATATTAGTTTTAGGGGGACATTTCTAACTGTATAGGTAGTTATGTTATTCCAAGGCAGGTAGTAGAATTCCCATTATTGGATATTTTTAAGAACAGGCTAGACAAACACCTCTGAGGGATGGTCTAACTTTACATAGCCTTGCTTCACTTAATGACCTTTCAAGGTCCTTTCCAAATCTGCATTTCTATGGTTCTCTGCTTTGAATTGTGTCATGTTAATATATTAACTATTAATATGTCTGTTTTAAGTTTCCATTTGGATCACTGTGGGGCTTTACCATGGTTTCTGCAGAAGACCAGTTTTAAAGGAAGAACATTTATGACTCATGCTACAAAAGCTATTTACAGGTGGCTTCTTTCAGATTATGTCAAGGTTAGGTAAGTTGGTTGTTTTTACTGTTCCTGTCTGACCAATGGGGGAAGTGTATGTGAAATGACACATTGATTTGGAGTGCTTTGGGTACAGTTTATAATATCTTATATTTTTAAAAGACCACTGTCAGTTTAATAATTCATGTGTACATTTCTTCAAAAGTTCACTTAGGCTACTAATAACTTTTTAGAGCATTAAAAATGAAGGAAAAATACATCTAATTTACTTTTAATTATTTGTCATGTTTACTTTTTGCAATAGATTAATCAATCTGTAGTCAATTTCACTTTTAGTAGGTTACTAAACAAAATAAAACAATACACAAGTAAAGATTCACTAAGAAACTGGTTATATGTAATATCTCACCCTCAAAGTTGTTCTAAGATGGAGAGGTGGCTTTTAAGCCATCTTCCTGCATGCACAAATTCTCACAGAGCCACCTACCTCTTCTGCAACTCCCTTCCCATGTTGCTGCCTCTCTATCAGAGGCAATAGTGCGGGGAAGATGGCAGGCTGGAGCCAGTGCTCCCAGGGAGCCAGCTTTTAAACCACTAACCTCAACTCCACTCTCCATGGTGCTGCCAGAGGCTTAAAAGCTGGGTCCGCGTGAGCACCAGCTCCCACTTGCTTCTCCCCTCACGCACACTGCTGCCTCCAAGTGGGAGGAAGGGCCTTGTGGGTAACCGTGAAGGGCTCATCGGTTAACCATTTAAACATATACACTTTCACATTTCTAGTTCTAATAAGGTTCTTTCACAGACCAGAAAGCCATCCAGCCTGGGCCCAGTCCTTCTTCCCAGTTCAGTCTTAGATGTTTCTAGCAGTCATCTTGGGTGAGGTAGCCAGGAAAAACTGACGACGACCAAGATTGCTTCATTCCCTACCTTTAAATTAAGTTTTACATAAGGCTGGAATCCTTTGTGTTCAGTTGAAACTTTCCCTCTGCTCTTGTGGGAAATATAATGGCACCCACGATGGATCCCAGCATCAGGTGACAGGGCCACATCACCCCTCCTCTCCGGCTTACAGGAATAACAAGTCTATTCATAGATCATTGTCCTGAGTATTGAACTTTATTTCATTATTACTAAGTAGTAACACAGATTTATGCATCATATTTCTGATTTACAGAATATGTGCATGCAAATGGGATAATCTTATTCAGTAGATTACAACCTACTGTTCTAATCTACTGAAAAGAGGCAATCAGTCTGCAGCAGTTCTGCATCAAGGAGAGTATCACTCCAATAACCAGAGACTTGCTGGAGTCATTTTGCAAATAATCTCAGCAGGACTTTTTCCCTGAATCCCCAATAGTCTCTGAAGCTCTGTGTTCCACGAATCATCTTTGCCACTTGGGACATTCCATTGATCAGTCTATTTACTACAAGGGACAACAGGAAATGACATCTGTTCTGTTCTCAGGTGGGCCTCAGTCTGGTTACCTGACCAGAGCCTTTCACTTCCCCTGGCAATTAGTTCTCCTGTGCGCTTCTCCTCTGAACTCAGTCATTCCACAGGTCATCCATAAGCTGAGAGTGAATCAGACCAAGTTCGTTGTTATTTTCCTGGCATAGGAGAGGCAGTGTTGGTTCTGATCTTCTTGCATTGTCAGTTCAGGCTTCCATATGCCTTCCTTTCCATCCTGATCTTCTCTCTTAGAATCACAGTCACACTTTGCATCCTGTGCTCAGCTCCCTCAAACTCACTGTATGACTGCTCTGTGGCTGAATGAGAGGAATAGTGGTTTCTGGTGACTGTTCAACAAATTCTAGTCAGTAGCAGAAAGTCCACTAGCAGAATGGCCTATTCAGCAAAATGGAAGCAGTTTTCAGTGTGGTTATTGGCCAGTTGGATTTAACCAATATCTCTATCCAGGACATCTTGGCATATCTGCTACATCTTCAGTCATCAGGACTTGCACTTAGCTCGGTATCTGGCAGTGATGTCAGCGTTTCATCCATCCTTTCATGTAAGATTGGTATTTTCCAACGTCATGATAGCAAGAGTCTTAGAAGGAATTCTTCATATCCATCTGCTGGTGCAAGTACTGGTTCCTTGGTGAAATTTTAACATGGTCTTAGCAGCTCTGATAGGACTTCTATTCAAGACACTGGCATCTTTCCCTTTCCTCTTTTGTGTTAGACTGCATTCCTGGTAGTAATTGTTTGGGACCTCGGGGATATCCTCTGAAGTGCTTAGACAAGTTAGACTGCATTCCTGGTAGTAATTGTGACTGTTTGGGACCTCGGGGATATCCCCTGAAGTGCTTAGACACAACTGAGCTCCCGCTTCTCTGCCAGCCTGGACCCCCCCTTTTACCTGGCCTTGCTGAGCCAGGCTCTCCCTTCTCCACAAGTAAAACCCATAGACAAGAACACACTCAGCTGCAAATACAGACAGAGATCAGTTTGAGGAGGACTTCAGAGATTTACTCCAGCACCAACTTTTGCCTAAGTTGCCATTCTTAAGCCAAATAAACTTCAAAAACAGACTGTAATGGGTAATTTTCTTCTTTAGGTATTCTGACCTTCTTACTACTGTTGAAAGTGGGCCACATCCACTCTGGTTGAAATAGACTTATTCACTTTGCATCACTCCCATCTCTGTATTTACGTATATATCCCTCCCATCTGATTCTTTCACTTCATGCGTCTGATGAAGTGAGCTGCAACTCATGAAAGCTTATGCCCTAATAAGTTTGTTAGTCTTTAAAGTGCCACATGACTTGTTGTTGTTTTTGCCGAAACATGCTAACAAGGCTACCCTTATGAAACTTGTCAATTTTGAATGGGGATATCAAATGGAGTTACAAAATCTATCAATTCTGTAAAGTAAACCATTGAAACTAGCTGATACTTAGCCTTTTCATTTTTATACAGCAATATTTCTGCAGATGACATGCTGTACACAGAGACAGATCTGGAAGAAAGCATGGACAAAATTGAAACCATCAACTTTCATGAAGTAAAAGAGGTGGCAGGAATCAAGTTCTGGTGTTACCATGCTGGCCATGTCCTGGGAGCAGCCATGTTTATGATTGAAATAGCTGGTGTGAAGGTATTGTTTTTTAGTATAGAGTAGTACTCCTTGTCACAAATATTTTATAAGTCTTGTTCAGAGCTCAAAATGTGAAAATAGGCAAGCAACCCCTATCCAAACATATTTGGAAGATCTAGGAGGCCTTGTATTGGAGTGTTATTTTTAATCAGTTAGAGCTGTTGAGTAATAGCAGTTTTACTGAAGTGAGCAAGGGCTTTGTGGAACAGGTGAGTTTTAAGTATATGACCTAAGTGTGGAAAGATTTAGCAGAGAGACTACTACACTATGGTCTGAGAAGTGACAGGTCACCTGTTGCTAGCTGTCCTTGCATTTAGTAATAAAACTGCATTAAAATGTAACTTAATCCCATAAATATTTATTTTCTTATGTTTGTCTAGGAACTTAAAATACTCTTCACTAAAATACTATAGAGCCTCACATTAATTAATGTTCACTACATACACCCTGATGTGGTAGGACATATTATTTTTTCCATTTTTGTGCACATGAATCTGAGCACAGAAAAAATATTGAATTTATCCAATGTTATACAAGAAATCTGTGGCAGAATCAATCATCAAACACAGATTTGTGAGCCCCATTGCAATACCTTCTCAGAAAGACCATTTTTCTCCCCTGTAAGCAATAAGTGTTCACAGATACACTAGGAAGTTAGCATAAATGGGAGAGGAAATGTTTTGTTTAGTTGTGAATGGGAAGTGATGATCCACAAGGTAATTTCTCTATTAAAATATACTTTACATTATGAAAATTTGAGAACCTCTGGTTTAGCAAAATTTAGAAAAGGTTAAGCGCATATTTTGAGAAGACTCTAATTAAATAGCTAGAATAAAAATGAGAGGAGGTATTGGTCTTCTTGTTGATCATCAGTTGGGGATAGGAAGAAAGCCTTTCTTCTCTGTTGTGAGTATTGCTCAAATTATTGTGTTTTAAGTACATTGTGTTCTCTGTTTTCTCTTGAAGCTTGTGATATATGCTATAGGATATTTATCATTTTTATCACAGGCCATTTATCATTTCCACTGTTGGTCATCTGTGTTCTTATTCAAGCTTTTGAGCATGATTTGTATTTAAATTTTCTTCAAAGGAGTGATTGTAGGATACCCTATAGTTCACTTTAGTTGGGGCTCAATTTGGTCTTTATTCTGGAATAAAGTTAGGAATTGATCTGTGAAGAACCAATGTTTTGGAGAACAGGATTTATTCTGGAATAAAGTTAGGAATTGATCTGAGAAGAACCAATGTTTTGGTTCTAACCAAAAACCTAACTTGAAAGCATTTTAAATTATGGGTTTTACTTTTAAAAAATTGTGACATTTTCTGAAGGTAATGATGTGGAAATATCAGAGTCTTTAGTACAACATAGGCTAATTAAAATAGTTCCTTTTGAGTCTTGTTCATTATGCTGATATTTTCAAATGGAAATGCTTGAGTGTACTTTCTTGCATCCCTCTGAATATTTTTAAGTTCTTAATGGTCTGTGTATAGGTGCAAAACTCTAAAAACATCACTGTAACGGAAAGGAGGGACTACAAAATTGGTAATACTTATGTCTACAGCTGCTTATGATGCACTTGAAATACTGCTTGAAATCTTTCAGTCATTGGAATTCAGATTTGATGGCTGTATTAATAATTACCATAAAATCGCGAGTATAATGCGCACTTTTTTCTCTTTTTTTTAGCATCAAAGTCGGGATGCGCATTATCCATAGGAGGATTTTTTTTTAAGTTTTGAACTCACCCTTGGCAGGCGTGAGCTCGGCATGCGGACAGCTGGGCAGGGGAAGTCCCCCAGCAGGCGCAAGCCCGGCGCGCAGGCAGCTGGGCGGGGGAGGACACCCGGCAGGCGCAAGCTCAGCATGCAGGCAGTTGGGCAGGGGGCAGGTTTCCTTCCCGTTCCTTCCCTCCCATTCTCCTGTATAATGGGTGTGCATTATACTTGCGATTTTACAGTAAACCTCTAAGAACAGTGTATTTCTCAAACCAATCTTCAATACAGGTACATCTGAAGCTTTTATTAAAAAATCTACAACATTAGCATTGCTAAAATATTAAATTTTTCCTCTACAAAACATGTTATTAATATCTTTTTTGCTGAGCTAGTCATTCTATCTAATTATGTGTTTTTTCTTTCTGTCATAGCTTTTATATACAGGTGATTTCTCAAGACAGGAAGACAGACATTTGATGGCAGCTGAGATTCCTAATATTAAACCTGATATTCTTATCATTGTAAGTTTCACACTGTCATTCCTTTAAATTGGTAGTTGGGAATGTCTAGAGGGACTTACTAAGATCTGAAGTGAATATCAAAATAAAGGTGGAAGCTTAATAGTGACATATAACTTGAGTATTGTGCATTATGTATCTCTTACTGCCACACTGTAGGGGAAATCAATACATCCTGTCAACTTCTGTGATTTTTTTTTTTCCTATTGAATTTCTTTAAAGTGTTCTGTAAAGGAACTTAGTGCATGGCTTTTCAGTCTTAAAAATCACTTTCCTGGCACCATCTCCCCACAATGCTCTTGCAGGGTTTTCTCATTTGTGATGATACAATATAGTGCATGCTGGAGTTTGAGCCAGCTCACTATGGCAGGGATAGATATTTGAGTGACCTCACAGAACAAAGGTAAGCTTTTAGGGAGTAGTTTGCTCAGTGATTCTCTATCTTGGCCAGTATTTAGCATATAATAACTTCTGTATAGTGTGTTTCAGGCCAGTCTCAAGGCACTCTCCAAAGCTTCAGGTCACTTCTTTAACCTGTGTAAACCCCAACCTGTCCCAGATGTGTGCCCAGAAACACACTAGAACAGGAAAAAACAACAGATGGTCTGGTAGCACTTTATAGACTAACAAAACATGTAGATGGTATCATGAGCTTTCATGGGCACAGTCATCTGAAGAAGTGGGCTATGCCCACAAAAGCTCATGATACCATCTACATGTTTTGATAGTCTGTACAAGAAAAAACAACAAATGGTCTGGTAGCACTTTATAGAATAACTCAGCTACCCCCTGAAGCTACTAGAACAGGAGTAAGACAAGGAAGTAATTCCAACCAGTTGACTCTATGGCAGTAAATATGGGCAGGACACCCGTTAATGCCCTTTTTCTTGCAAGAAGTATTAAGGGACTTATTAATTACACATAGTTAAGACCTTGTTTTTATACTATCTCTGCAAGAGAGCATCTCCAGCATTATAGTGTCCCCTGCCAGCATAATGTAGCATTGGATAAGTACTGAATCAAAGAAAAGAGTGGCATCTGCTACTTTACCTTTGAGAGTATACTTTGGTCCTGTGGAAAATTTATAGTTAGGGACCTACCGATTACATGGCTGTGGAAAATGTGTCATGAACTGTGAAATAAGCCCTTCCATATAAAATTTGATCTCCCCTTGCTATGGGACCACCCTAGTCAAGGGTTCCTAGTCCAGCTAGACTGGTGAGGGAGAGAACTTATCTTTCCCCTGTTTGGCAGCTTTTGCTCTAGAGAAATATCAGACTACCTCAGAGTGCCTCCCCCTGCTGCAGGAAGCTCTCTGCCCAGCACCAGAGATACTTACAGCTGGAGGAGTCTTGGGGAGCTGGGTGTGATCTCCCCCTACTTATGGAAGCACAGCAGCCAGAGGGCTCCTAACTGTAAAGGGACAGGACTTATATTTTCGTTGTATGGCAGCTCGAGGGGAGTGGGGCGGGGGGAGATCGGACCCAGTTCCAGGTACCTTTCGGGTTAGGAAACCCCTTCGCCACCACCATCACCCCTTAACCCCTCTCCCCGCCGCCCCCCCTGCCCACACATCTCAGTTACAAAACTGAAAATTCAAGTGTAAACAGCTGAAAATGTGAAACTGGCCAATTTTAAAACCTGCTAAAGTGAACTGTGAATTTGGTAGGGGTTCTATTTATAGTGTTATGAGCTGCTTTTCTGGTAAAGAAATTCCTTGAGGCTCCAGACGGATCTTGTTTAGACTGTGAATTTGCCCTGATTTCAGCTAGGTGCAGCTGCACTCAAACAACCCCAAATTTAGGCACTATTTACGCTCATGGAGCTTATCCTAGTTTCAGGCAGCATGAAGAGCAGTTTTGCTTGTCTACACTAGGGTTTTGCATTGATGGAGCTATATTGATGGCTGACCAGCTTTGGCTGAAATCAGAGCAAACCCTCAATAAAGACAAGATTTTAATGAAAGGGTGGGTTATGTTGAGGGATCACCTCAGTGCACCAAAGTACAGCTCTGGCTACAAAGTCCGGTTCTTTTGCTGTTGTAGCTTTGGCTCAGAGTCAACAGTGCATATGTATTTGTTTTACATATGTGGGTGAACATTTCTTGTTTAGTAAGAGGAGCATTTACAAAAACGAGAATAGTGTCAAAATGCTATTGTCTCTGCTGCCAGAGTCTCTGCGTACACAGATCTCTGTTTTCACAACAAACTGTATTCTCTGAATTCAATGTACTTTTTCTCACTACAATTCATGTTTTCCTGCAAGTCAAGTGAGGGTCATGTATGCATTGCATTTACACTGTAAATAGAAGTTCTGTTGCAGTAAGATAACCTCAACATGCTGATTAGCATTTTCAAGTTGATTTCAAATACGAGTATAACAGAATTGAGGATTAAGGTCTGTATCAGCGTTTTAATAATAACTCTGTATATACTTTACTACTTAGGAATCCACCTATGGTACCCATATTCATGAAAAAAGGGAAGAGCGAGAAGCAAGATTCTGTAACACTGTTCATGATATTGTAAATAGAGGAGGTAGAGGTCTCATTCCTGTCTTTGCCTTGGGTCGAGCTCAAGAGCTACTTTTGATCTTAGGTATGTATCTTCACAACATTTAGCACTGAATGAGCAAAATACATTGGATATTTTAATGTCTGTCCTTATATGTACAATAAGTTGTTTATTTTTATTTATTTTATTGTTTGATTGATTAAAACAAATCTTTCACTACCTTTGCAGTGAGCTAATGACTTAAAAATTCCAGGGTGGCTTGATTTAAATCAAGATGGCTTAAATCAGGGCCTTAACTCACCAAGTGGAAAGCCTGGATTTAAATAATTGATTTTAATCACTTTTCCATTTGTAAAGTCTCAGAGGAGTAGCAGTGTTTGTCTGTACTTTAAAAACAATGAGTAGTCCTGTGGTACAAATATATATGTATCATGAGTGTTGGGGGGGGGGAAAGGGAGACATTTCCTCAGATGAGCTTGAATCAAAGTGGGTTTTGCCCAAGAATCTCATGATACGATATATATTTTTGTCAATCTTTAAAGTGCCACAGAACTTCTCGTTGTTTTCCAATTGTAGTTCAATTAGTTCTTAAAGAAAAGTGCATTTTCATTGCTTGACGTAACCTTTAAAACATGTTGATTTAAAACTAAATAGAGGTTTTATACTAGGTTTGGGACACCTTTTTGCTACATAAGATGCTATACTATAACATTTACTTAAGCAAATATGTTTAATATTTTCAGATTCTCCTTAATATATTTTAGTACATAGGAAAATGGTGAATGATGTACTGCTTATTTATTAGATAATTAGTCTTTTGATTATGTTATCTGTCAAGCTCCATTAGGATTGTGATTAGAATTTAATTAAACACACAAAACAGCATATAAAATATATTGTATTAAATAAAATAACTATTAATGTTTTAGATACACATTTCACATTTACAACTAAAAAGTTATTAACGAAACAATGTTTCTATAACTACTGAACTACATGTATTATTTCAGGACAGCCTAGGAACTGTTTCAAATATGCCCAATTGAAAGTGACTGGATCTTAACTTCCTACTCATTGAAGTCCCTTAAAAATGACACAAGTATTACTTAGGCTTTCTTTCGGTCTTTTAAAATTGGTAGATCTCATCCCATCCCTCATTGTCCTAGACTAGAAGAGAGAGACAACTTTTCCTGCTTATTTATCTCCCAAATAATTTCTCAATATTGAATGACTTAATTCAATTTTTTTTTAAATATTCTTTCTGTGCCTGCAGAAATGGCTACTACTGTGAAAAACTGGTTTAGCACATCAACAAATTCTGGTTCCAGGACCTTAGCTCCACCCATCAAGACCAAAACTGAATTTCTCAGCAATGTTTTTTGCACATTATTCAATTTTCCTTTCACACCCTATATCCACCAATCTTCCAGCCATGTCTACTCTGCCAGATGAAGTGTAGCTTGGTCATAATAACTGAACCATGCAAATAAAATATTTGTTCTGAACAAGATAAAAGATTGAACTTGTTGAGTAAATTAACTGAGAAGTTATTTCATCAATGGCATCTTGCTGGAATCTTCTGGCCCTGATTTCAAATTCATCCATGGTTTTATGTGGGTCCCTCCACTCATCTGAGTCTCAGAAGCTTTGATTACCAAATCTACATAGTCTGCTAAGTCTAAAACAACACCTTCTCACCACTTGTTTGTAGAAGTTGTCACTTGGATTCCATGCAAACTATTCTTCTGCTGAAATCACTGTTAGCCAACCACTCAATTAAGTATCTAGATTAAAACAATTGTTAAAAGAACATACAAAACTGTGAATAGCAAAATATAAATGACACTTTCTTCATTTATAGAAAAGTTGGTGAATCATAATAGTTGAGACAGTTTAACTAAAACAGTTTGGCAAAAATCAAACAACATTCAAAGTACTCAATTAAAATAAAATAAATAAATTTTCTCTCCCAATTTTCCCCTTCTATAATTTACCCTGCCCATGGTTCTCTATTGGAGGGTTAACAATATCAATACCTGGTGCAAAATGCTCCCGAGAGAGGGATAACAGCCCGCCTTCTGCTGTTGGACTCAGCTTCTCCCAATTCACATAGGACACATGGCCCCTAGTAAAGCAGCAGCCCTGACTGCTTGCCCTCCTTGAGTATCTGACCCGAGCAAAACTACTACACCCAATTCTAGAAATTTCTTGATCTGAAGTACTAGGTCTACCTAGCAACAATGACCCACTCCTATCCACTCACCCCCATGTCACTTATATTAAGGATTCGGCTTATGGGTTACAAATGAAACTAACGGCAGAATTGGGGCTCAGAGTAAGTAGGTGTAATTTTAGTGGCGTGTGGTATACAGGATAGCAGACTAGCGCAGGAATGAGCAATAATTTTTGCAGGGGGGGCCACCAAAATTTTTGGAGTAGGTGATCACAGGCTGCACTTTTCTATTATATTAATGGAGGGGGTGTGCATTATGGGAGGGAGTTTGGGTGTAGAAGGAAGGTGCGAGCTGCAGACTGCTCAAAACTGCTGGCTGATACTAGTAACTGTGTCTCTGTACACTCCTTGGATGGAGAGGGTCAGCGGGTCTTCACGTGCTGCCCACATCCACAAGCATACTCCCGCAGTTCCCACTGGCCAATTTTCTGGCCAATGGGATCTGTGAGGATGGTTCTGGGGAAGAGAACAACACACAGAAACCCACTGCCTCCCTCTCCAAAGGGCAGACTGCCTGGGCACCCTGTTGCCCTGTGGCACATTTTCCTCTGGCCCTGGCCTGGAGGGTCATGGCGGAATGAAAGAAAATGTCTGATGTGTGATATTTTGCCTACCCTTAGGGTAAATGATCTGATGTCCCTTCTGGCTTCCAGTTCTATGCATCTGTGAATTTGGCTTGCAGAATTTTTAATGGTGATATAATGAAGTCTCACTAAGACTCTTAAGATTTATTTTCTATCTGTAAGATTTTTATAAGTAACATTTAACATAGATATTTCAGCCTATACAGTGTTGTTATAAAAATGAATTGAATGTACTGTAAAAGCATGAATATTTATAACTAGGATTTTAAATTGGTTGTTATATGGTCTTCTGTTGAGAAAAGACTGAGGTTTGAATTTTTTCTCTAATAGTTTATTTTATCTTCACTCCTTTTCAGCTTTGTTACACACACTCCCAAATAACAAAGGTCAAAAGAGGCATGTTGATATTTTTTTTATTACTTAGATTTCCTGTCTCTTAATAGCAGTGAAAATGTTTGAAAACCTGACTTTATAAAACAATATTGATTCTGAAAAATGCATGTTTGGAAGCTGCTAATACATTTAGGCCTTTTTAAAATGTTCCTCTAGATGAATACTGGCAGAATCACCCAGAACTCCATGACATCCCTATATACTATGCCTCCTCTTTGGCAAAGAAATGCATGGCAGTGTATCAGACATATGTAAATGCTATGAATGACAAAATCCGCAAGCAAATCAACATCAACAATCCATTTGTTTTCAAACACATAAGTAATTTGAAGGTGAGTGTGACTAAAGCGTATTTCATGTCAGAGGTAAGATGTATCAAATACTTTGCAATTATATGGGGTTTAACTAGTGAGTAAAGTATACTTTGCTAGGAATTTAATTCATTTATTAATTCAGAGGTTATAACAGAATCTTTCAACATAAATCTGCTTTCTCCTGTTAATGACACTTGTTATTTTAACCTCCATTCTATAATGTTGGCTGGATTATGCACATCCAATATGTGCTGTCTAATTTTCATTGAAATCCCACATATGGTTTCTCAATAGGGATTTCTGTCTAACTTTATCAGTGCTGTGTGCATGCTCACTACATAACCTTAATTTCACCATGATCTCTTTTATTTCTTAGTTTGGACAGAAGAATATTTGGGTATTTCTGACTCTCATTTGGGTGGTAGGCTACTGCTATACTTGTCTTAACTTAGCACAGGTACTTTAACTGAAAGTTTATGGAGGATTTCAGCTTAGTTTCTGGAACAAACATAAAATCATACACTAATATAAGGCTTTCATTGAAGTGTATTTGAAATAAATAAATAGGGCAGCATTTGCCATACTTCTGTAATTTAAAATATTCACATATTTAAATTAGTTGTTTTATTCAGTAATAGTAGTCGTTATACTGAGGCCATATTATCTATCCATTTGCTATACGTAGGTTTGGTAAGGTGGAGAGCATTCCCTTACACTTTCTTTTTATCAAGAGCCACAAAATATCCTTCATGGGCAAAGATGGGAGGGATGCTGCCAAAAGGTGACCTCCATGAAGATGAAGTATGATCTTCCCACATAGGTCCCCTTTTGCATGTGGATTAGGAATGCAGTCAGGCTCTACTTATTGGTATCAACTATACGAAGTAATATTTTTCCTTTTTTTTTTTTAAGAGTATGGATCACTTTGATGACATTGGCCCTAGTGTTGTTATGGCTTCCCCGGGTATGATGCAGAGTGGTTTATCAAGAGAATTATTTGAGAGCTGGTGTACAGATAAGAGAAATGGAGTCATAATAGCAGGTTACTGTGTTGAAGGAACACTTGCCAAGGTGAGTTATTACCATTTGACTGATATGATCGTTTACATGTTTCAACAAAAGGAATGATCCCTGGTTGGATTATGTATTTGAACTTGTTAAACAATAAGGTTGTTGTCATGGATGGATGGATGACTAAATACACTCTAAGCCAATTGTACCCTGCAAAAACAAATTAAATGTCCAGTAACAGTCTATTCTTACGTGGAAAAAATATTTTCTGTATGCTATTAAAAAGGCGAAAGGCTCACCTATTAGCAGATAACTTGTCCCAGGAAAGTGGTCTTTTTCACCCTATTAGAGTCCATGACTAAGCTCCCACTTACATCAGATTGGGATGCTTAGCACTTTTACTTGCCATGAAGTTGAGACATTGTTGACAGAACATTACCATCTAACTTTCTGCAATTAAGAAAGGACTGCAGAATCCAATTCTGCAATAAGAGATAGATTCACAAACCTTGTATTGATTTCACTGAGAGTTATGGTCATAGGTCTAAGAGCCAAATTAAATCCTAAGTGTCCTATGCAAGGGACAGGATGCATAAGAAAATAAGAACGGCCGTACTGGGTCAGACCAAAGGTCCATCTAGCCCAGTATCCTGTCTACCAACAGTGGCCAGCACCAGGTGCCCCAGAGAGGGTGGACCGAAGACAATGATCAAGCGATTTGTCTCCTGCCATCCCTCTCCAGCCTCTGACAGACAGAGGCCAAGGATACCATTTTATCCCCTGGCTAATAGCCTTTTATGGACCTAACCTCCATGAAATTATTTAGCTTCTCTTTAAACTCTATTATAGTCCTAGCCTTCACAGCCTCCTCTGGCAAGGAGTTCCACAGGTTGGCTACATGCTGTGTGAAGAAGAACTTTCTTTTATTAGTTTTAAACCTGATCCCCATTAATTTCATGTGGTGTCCTCTAGTTCTTCTATTTAGGGAACTAATAAATAACTTTTCTTTATCAGCCCTCTCCACACCACTCATGATTTTATAGACCTCTATCATATCCCCCCTCAATCTCTTCTTTTCTAAACTGAAAAGCCCCAGTCGCTTTAACCTCTCCTCATATGGGACCCATTCCAAACCCCTAATCATTTTAGTTGCCCTTTTCTGAACCCTTTCCAAGGCCAAAATATTTTTTTTGATGTGAGGAGACCACATCTGTACACAGTATTCAAGATGTGGGCGTACAATAGTTTTATGCAGGGGCATTAAGATATTCTGGGTCTTATTTTCTATCCCTTTCCTAATAATTCCTAGCATCCTATTAGCCTTTTTGACTGCCACTGCACACTGTGTGGAAGTTTTCAGAGAACTGTCCACGATAACTCCAAGATCTCTTTCCTGATTGGTTGTAGCCAAATTAGCCCCCATCATACTGTACGTATAGTTGGGGTTATTTTTCCCAATGTGCATTACTTTACACTTATCCACATTAAATTTCATTTTCCATTTTGTTGCCCAATCACTCAGTTTGGTGAGATCTTCTTGGAGTCCCTCACAGTCTGCTTCTGTCTTGACTATCCTAAACAGTTTTGTATCATCTGCAAACTTTACTACCTCACTGCTTACCCCTTTCTCCAGAGCATTTATGAATAAGTTGAAAAGGATTGGTCCCAGGACTGACCCTTGGGGTACACCACTAGTTACCCCTCTAGCATGTATGTGTTTAATTTTTTTATGACTGATCCTAGGTGTGTGTGATTTTTATAATGTGTATTTGATCAAATGTTTACCATTTAAACCAACTACAGTTAGTTATTTTTCTGGTTCTCAAAAAGTGAATAACTGGATATATTGTATCTGCAGAAGATTTTTCAAATACCTTGTTTATTGAAAGGAGAACTTTTTCTTGTGTGACAGCACATAATGTCTGAACCAGAAGAGATCACAACTATGTCAGGACAGAAGCTCCCATTGAAGATGTCTGTAGACTACATTTCTTTTTCTGCTCACACAGATTACCAACAAACCAGCGAGTTTATCCGAGCACTGAAACCTCCACATGTGGTTAGTGTGCATGTTCATTATTTCTTGGGAATGTAGGTTGTGTCATTTGTTTGTCAGCTTCAGTATTGTACCTCTGTTAGAGGCCAGTCCTTGCTGATGCAAAGGTAGCAAAATACTCTTTGCCTTGCTACACCAGCAAAATGTAAATACCTGGTTGATTAGCGATAGAAATGTTTTGGTTGATTAGCAGCACTGTGGGTGTGTTGAGAGAACCTCCCTGAGATGAAGTTACTCTGTGCCCTATTTGAGCAGTTAAGTTTTGTGTATGTGGCTACTTGTAAGATACACTACAGAACAAATAAAGTGTGGCTTGTGGTCACTATTACCAAAGTGAACCAAAGAATAGGTGAGTTTCCAGGTATTTTGGAGAATAAGGAGGTTATTTAGTAAAAATTACTTGCAATGGAGTTTGTTTCAAATTATCAGGGCAACATCATCTCTTTTTTGAGAGAATATTCCTTGTTAAGTGTGAAACTGTTGCTTGCAGATATTAGTGCATGGAGAACAGAATGAAATGGCCAGATTGAAAGCAGCATTGATACGAGAATATGAAGATAATGATGAAGTTCACATAGAAGTTCACAATCCTAGGAATACTGAAGCTGTGACATTAAACTTCAGAGGAGAAAAGCTTGCCAAGGTATATGAATAATGTTTTCTTAACCACAGTGTAGCATTTTCCTCTTTGATGAGCATTATGTTTTTCCTTTAAGAATATGCTTGCTTTTAATCAATTTCATATTGTGCTTCTAGGATAATGATGAAGTTCACATAGAAGTTCACAATCCTAGGAATACTGAAGCTGTGACATTAAACTTCAGAGGAGAAAAGCTTGCCAAGGTATATGAATAATGTTTTCTTAACCACAGTGTAGCATTTTCCTCTTTGATGAGCATTATGTTTTTCCTTTAAGAATATGCTTGCTTTTAATCAATTTCATATTGTGCTTCTAG